TTCAGCAATTATTGCAAGATTAAAGTTCTACTCTAAAGAGCTTCCACACGAAGTAGCACTAGGGACATCTGGATTGCTAATATAAGCTACAGCAAATAGGTCTAACGTCTCAAGATTTAAAAAATATCAGAATATTAACTGTTTAATCTACAAGTGTACAACTGAAGCCTTGAGTGACTAAACTTTCACGTAGTCAAGAACTTCAAAGTCCTATTCACATTAGAATTGTGCCTTGCCTTCGCATACTTTAAATAAAGGAAAGTTTGGTTACATGATACCCTTGATTTATGCCGCACTAGCTCTCAAAGAAATCATTTTGCTGAAATCAAAGAGATGAGAAATAAGCATTTGTGTTTGGTTTTTCCGACTAAGTACGCTTTGAGAAAAACAATATGAACAATGAGCTGAATTTCTCAGTATAAAACTAAATCATCGATAAATGTATTGCACTCGTTGATTCGATCGTACAGTGCATGCCTTCAATTCGATTCATGAATAATATTTAATAAGATTTGATGAGCAAATATGTTATTGGTATAACTGGGAAGTTAATTATAAGTGAGGCGGATAGCAAGCCAAGTATAAGTTATATTTTGCAGCGTAAACAAATAGTAGAATATCTCCTAGAAATGTCAAATATCTAGTTGAAAAAAGTGATTAGAACTCTTTTGTATTAGTTTAATGTAGTAAACTTCAGAGCAGCTAGATTTGGGCTAGTGTTTCCTCTTTTTATATAAGATGGGAACAGTTACTGCACTATTCCAATGAAGAATAGAACTGTTAAACCTTTATAGTGTTACAGTGGACAGGGTTTATTATTCCACTGGGACAGCTGTGAAAGTGGTTAATATGACAAGTGAAATACTTTTTCCTCTAAAATTAAATAAAGCAGACTTATTCCATAGCAAGGTCTTCTACATGACTGTCTAAGCTTGTATTACTCAAAGGTAAATTACACTTTTTTGTCTTGAGGAATTGTACTTACCAAGGAGTATTCATGTTCATTACTTTAAAATGTAGTTTCACCAAGCTTTGCTAGCACTCATTGTATTTATTTATCTGCATATATGGCCTAGTAAGCAAAAGCCCATCTAAAAATGCCATAAGAAAATATCTGTGCAGTTGATTTCTCACCCATTGGCTTAAATAAAGTAAGCCTGTGTTTAAGAAATATCGGTAAATAACCCTTCAGAACAAGGGCTTGGTAGTTAACCTGTGGTTTTTCGAAACTACTACTGCTTCAGATGAATATTGAGCTAGCTAATCAAATAGACAATAACCCTACATTTTAATAATTTATGTAGTTCCTGAGTGGTAGGCTTCCAAGCATGTGGTCTATGAACTCACGAAAATATTCTCCTAACATATTTTGAAGTTTATTTGACTTCTATGTTGATGAAAGGTAATCCATGTGTATCTATAAATTTAGTTGCTCCTGTGGGGAGAGCTAAATACGGCGAACAACTAGACAGCTCAACAAATGCAATAATGAGCATCTCCCTACATAGTTCGGAAAAGGTCAAATAAAAATCCATAAGAAGTTCTATTTTGGCTCATTTGATTGATAGCGGTCACCAAGTGGACAAAAATAGTGCCTTCAAAGTTATCTATCTCATTCCACCGAGCCTTTCGAATCCGTCTTTTACACATAGCCGAGGCTATAGGATTTCGAGAGAACAATCCTAGTCTTTGCACACAAAAGAAGTTTGTTCTACCTTTGTCTATCCCTTGGCCAAGGTGAATTCTAATCAAAACTCTCCCACCCTTTCTTATTTTTTATTTTCTTCGTACTTTTATGATATTTATTTAAACTCTGATTATCTGTCCACTTCACCTTTAGTATTACGTAACTTTTAAGATTTGACCTAATTTATTTATTGAATTGTCTATATATATACATGTTACTACCTTTGTTATTCCTATCACCACCTGCATAAACCGTATTATCAATATTTTGTTATCATTATAATCATCGTTATTAACTACGTTCAAAACATTTACCACATTGTTATCATTATTATTACTATTATTATTTGATCCACAAAATCACCGTCACTGGTTAAACATTTTTACATATAAATCTATGTGAATTAGAGTTAAGCCTGAAGAAGATCTAACTGAAACAATATTGTTCGCCTGTATGTCTTGTTCTAAAAGATAATCAGTTAATCAATTTTATTAGGTGAATTGCATTTCTCTATATATAAGTGATGACAGTTTGAACAGCAGGAAGGTTTTAATGTTTACTTATGGCATTAAGTGATTTTATTTTTACATGCTGATAAGTGGTGTTAAAAAAAGTTTAGCGCCAAGCTGCCTTCCAATGTTCAATAAACAAAATTGATGCTTAGATAATAAATTGTATACTTTATTGACGATTATCTGACATTTCTCTAGTGTTATACTACCAATTTCCGATTACAAATGAAATAAAGTTTTGTTAACTATTATTATTCTGGTTATCAGATATACAAATGTTTGTGCACAGACTTGCCTTGATGGCCTTGAATATATAAAGTTAGAAAAATTTTGCAAACTTTACTGAAGTCATTTCTCTTTTTCACCTAATAAGTAAAATAAACATCAATAAAAAGCACTAATATAAAAAGATATTAGGTAATGCTTCATTATTTGTGATTTAAGCAGATTTTACACTTTCTACAGTTGCCTTCTAAGTATGTCATAATGATAACATGGTTTAAAAGTATGATTTTCCGCCTAATCAATTAAGTTTTCCGTAAATATTGCAGTGAAGAATTAGAAATAGTGAACTAGATTCACGACTTAGAAATTTTCTACAGTTGGTTTGTAAGGATTAGTTTTGTTTTTACAAGTTTTTTTTTATTTATTTCTTGATTTACAGCTTGATTCCATACTGCATTTTCGGTACAAGTATGGAATTTTCAGCATGGATATCGGTAGCCCAAATTTTGCAGGCCGACCATAGATATCAGGTGTGCGTCGGTGCAGGCCCGAACCCCGGATCATGTGTATGGTCGGCGAGAGTCCTAACCACTGTACCACCGACCACCAACTGACATCAGTTAGGGGACCATTGAAATCCAGAGAATACTGGACGGTTGTTTCATTCTATTTTGGGAATCATCGGCAGTAGGCACCCACTGGCGTTCGAACACACGACCTTCTGGTTACAAGTCAAGCTAGCTCGTAAACCATTCAGCCACTGGGATCCGATTCAAGCACCAGCCCATAAATACTAACTACTACCAATTAATGATTTAGCGCGACCCCAGCCAATGTTGTCGGTAGGACATCCACCTTCACACTTGACTGGATGAACCTCACTGATCACGACTTCTCACCAGAACTCCAGATAACTTTATCCTGTAGCAAGTCACTAGTGAGCATCAGATTAATATCCTGTAGTTTGGTTTGTAAGGGTTAGTTTTGTTTTTACGAAATTAGTGTTCATACAAATACCTCATAACAAGTGGAAGAATGATTGGTTAACTAGTGTACATCGTCTTACGCTGCAATAATAAGGCAGGTGAAAATTTACTACCAAAAGATGTCAAATTCATTCATTCTTATGAAGAATCAAACAATAGTTTATGCGTGCCTTCTTTTCAGTGTTCTTGTATGACTTTTAAGCTAAACATCCTTTAAGTCTTAACAACTTAAAATAATGTAATTTGAATTTATGCTTCTATTTGATTGAAAATAGTTTGAGCCCTTTTTTTAATTATCTTAATTATCACTCATCGTATCTTAATTATAGATTTATTTTTTCTTAAAGATAAAAGTGGGGAGGAAGAATATGAGTCTGTTAAAATCTTGATAAGGATATTCTTAGTCTATTTTCTAGAGATTGAATTTCATAAAAACTTTCACTTAGATTCATTTATAATCTTTTTCCTACGATGTAGAATTTAGTTAACTCAATTTTGATTTATTCATTGACTGATTGGACCGAAAATTTGTCAGCCTCTGTTGATGTGTCACCTTCTAGCATGGACGCGTTGGCGATGTCTCAGGATTAAATTGAATTATTTTGATGGATGAGGACTAGCAGTGGAACCCAGGATGCGCATTTCATCCCATTATGGGTCCATCATCTGGATACACCTGCTTCCCCAAGTGAGTGGTGGTGTCCCCACTGAGACTTGAACCCAGTACCTATCATTTCAAATGCTAGAGCTTTATTCATTAGACCAATCGAGCTACGAGAAAATAAAGAATACCTGACGCTCATTGCTTAAGGGGTACCAGTTATAACCCAAGTGGTCCATATGGTGATGACTAGTTCCAAACAGCACAAAGTGCCCACCATGGATTTCACCAAAGCAATTAATGCACCAGTAAAAGACATCCTGGCAGTTATTGTACGAGATTGTGTTTTCACGCATTACACCCTATTTCATCGTATAATAAGGAGCTTCAAGACGTAAACGTATGGAAATGATATGTACTCATATGCTAACATGCTGAAGGAATGCCGCACAAAAAATGGGACAAGTGCAATACAAAACAGACCATTCGTTACTATATCCATGCACAGTTTCAATTTCATCCGTTCATTTGCATTAATTCAAGGTTGACACTTCACTTCTCATTAGCCGTAAAATCGAAACATGCACATGTAATTCAACAAAGTTACAGTTATCATTCAACTGAATACAGTGACCAAGGTTAGATGGATGTAAAATGTTGCAGGCAAGAGGAGTGATCAGTATTAGTCCACTTGACAGAAGCTGAAACTGATGGCACACTGCATCGAGTTCTAGTGGCTGAATAGTCTAAAAGCCAGCCTTATAAGCAGAATGCCTTGGGTTTGAACCCCTCTAGGTACTAGTTCGAGATGTTATCATGTACGTAGTAAAACTGACTGGTGTACATGAAACCTATTTTGAAACAAATGTAAAACCATGTTAGATACAAAGGGATTTACCAAAGAATTTCTGGGAACCGACAAGTTTGTTATAATAATTTTTTTTTAATATTACAATGATTACATAAAAAGAAATCTGTATAAAACTCACCAATTTCAACTTAAAACTAGTCAGTAATACTAGAGAATACCACATCATTACCCGAGACCACATAGTTCCAACAGGATTTTACATTTCAGCAGAAAAAGAATAATGCGAAACGGAATTCTAGTAGATGATAATTGAATAAACTGTTATTATTATTGTTATATTATTTGCGCATCTTATAAGTGATCACTAAACTAGATCCAATAATCAGCCATTTATGTTGAGTTCGATGGAAGCATTTCAGTAAATATTAAAGTATCATATGTTCACGAAATTATTCTGAAATCATAATTAGCTAAGTAGTATGCACTTTGAGACAAATTGAACAATTTCAATACTGTGGACGTCTAAATATTATATATATATATATATATATATAGGTAAGTTTTATTAGCTTCAGTATTCTTTATGTAAAAGATAATGAGTGGGAATGTTTAATTATAACAATTTGTGTTTTACTTAGTTAATTATTCATTTATTAATTTTCTGAATTCGTTGTTTATCAAGAAGGGTTGAATAAATTTTCTTTTTTAAAAATCAAATTATTTGCACTGAACAGTGAGGTATTTTCAATAATGGCCAGTGACTAGTGAATTCGTCATTCGTTTATTCACGTTGAATATGATTGGCTGATTGTGTCGATAAAGTAATTGGTCAGTATTCAATGGGGTATGACACATTTAACAATATAAATAAAAGTTACATTAGTTTTAGGAGTATTATGTATCTATTTTGGAACAGTTGAATACATTTTTACTGTTCTGTAAACATATGAAAAATATGCATACCATGGTAACGTGTCATTTGACTGGCATAACCTTTTTATCACTAGTTTCTGTATCGATATCTTATTTCCTGAAAACTAAAATTTATTCTTAAAAAATACCGTTTATAGTGAATGAATTCAACCCAATGAAGTATAAAGAAAACTTAGAAAAAGAGGAGGTAGATGGTTGAATTTATTGAAATAAGAAATATTTAGATAAAGCAATAAGAAGACTTAATTTGTCTGAATCGTGTAATGTATTTGCGCAACACATTTCGAACAATCTGATCACACACGGACTTGTCACAGAAATATATATGAAATTAATAAAGAGGTAAGAGGTGAGAAAATAGACAATTTATGTCAAGTTAAAACGACATATTCAAAGTCAAAATAACAATGAAGAACACTAAACCAAATAGCAGAGGTAATAGTACATCTGCTGTGGTTTCGAAACAAAATTTACCAAAGAAGGTTAAATGTGATAACGAATTGATTTTGAACGCATAAAGGTGGCTTAAACTTCCTAATTGCCAGCTAGGGCTTCCACAAACTTTAGGATACGCCCACCCCCAAACACGTTTTATAGTTAAGTTTAAAAGATAAAATTGGTGGATGGTGACTAGCAGTGGAATCCAGGATGCGCATTTCGTCCTATTTGGGACTCGTCATCTGGATGTACCTGCATTTCTCAGTGAGTGATGATGTTCCCACCGAGGCTCGAACCCAGTACCCATAGTTTCAAACGCCAAAGCGTTATCCACTAGACCACTTGGGCCACGAGAGCCACCTCTCGAGAGCCACGAGGTGGATTCCACTGCTAGTCACCATCCACCAATTTTATCCTAACTAAATGCCCAGACATGGTCAAAGCATCTGCACAAGAAGCCGACATGTCAACCTGAGACCGAGCACTTCGGTCCAGTCAATCGACGGGAAAATCAAAAAATCCAATTCAATAAGTTTAAAAGACCTGTTAAAATCAATTTTATGTCCTGTCTCTATAATATGTTTCGCAATAGAAGAGCTAGGTCTCCTCTTCTCATCGATAATAGGTTCTGATGATTCCATTTGTTTCTGGAGCCATTTAGGAATATGCTCTGAAGCCGTGAATGCAGAGATCGATGAGTCTCCCTATGTATGTGTGTCTATACCTACATTCAAATTTGTAAATAACGTGGGATGTGACTTCATTTTTCGAATATTCGAAGGACTCAAATAGATATATTGGCTTTACATTCTCTATTATTATGATATTAGCTGCATAAAAAGTCTTTTCAACAGCAGCGTTCAGTCTTTGTCCAGTTATCAAGCTGCTATGACGCCCCATATAGGGTAGCTTTATGTACACGTCTTTCTTAGGGGCGAGTGGGAGAGTAGGTCTTGGTGCTCTGCTTAATTTATATCTCCTAATGAACTTGTCTGGATAATTGTTATTAACCAGATTTTGTGTCAACTTTCTTTCTTCTTCTTCATCAAGTCTGTCTTCAGTGCATATTCGTCGGATTCTACTGAAGAGGCACCTTACTAAGCCTCTTTTGTACCGAATAGGGCAGAAACTGTGGTAATTAAGATACTGTCCTGTCCAGGTAGATTTCTATAAATAGATCTTTTTATTGACCCATCAAGCTGTCAACTAAGCAATATGTCTCGGAAAGATAAACAATTATCATCTTCTTCTACAGATGTAAGTGATATGCTATTCCGAACTTCATTCATTCGATTTAAAATTGAGGTGGCAGCGCAAGGTTTATCACTGATGACTACGATATCATTTACATACCTTCTATTAAGTGACACTATTTTCTCACCTCTTACCTCTTTATTAATTTCATATATATTCCTATGACAAGTCCGTGTGTGATCAGATTGTTCGAAATGCGTTGCGCAAATGCATTATACGATTCAGACAAATTATGTCTTCTTATTGCTTTATTTAAATTCATAGATGGAACTAATTGTTTTAAATAAGAAATATTCTCCTAGTATAACAACAAAAGGCAAGACTCGGAAGCCAGGGTGTATTTTCAGTTGATCAAACCTCTATTTATATATATTCAATTTATATTCTCTAACTATTCACTAAGCGTATGATTTCGGTTTATATTAAATGACATGGAATAGAGTGCTCAAATATATATATATATATGTAGTATTCTGTTGCTAATGCAGTAGTGAGCTCTGGGAATATGTAAAATAATATCCCGTTGGACACATTGTCTGTAGCACACCACCACACTATCACCCAATGAAAGTTTCACTCACGAACAAGGTGACAACTGTTATCTGTCCTTTTTCATAGAATGCAGGTGTTTCGATGGGTGATTTATCACCACCACTTCGAAAGCCTACTTTCCTTGAAAAACAAGGTGTTTTGAAGATGTTATAATGCATACTTGAATTATTTCCTCACATTAATTTTTACTGAGCAGACAATACGATCTCTTCTGTATGGGTCAGGAACTTGCACAACACGTCACGAAAAGTATTTCCAACAGGCCACTAAACACTTTTACCAAAACTTATTTTCCTGACTTCATAATGAGGATCAAATGGGCAGAAAGAATTAAAAACAAGAAACTATGGGAAGAAACAAAATACCAACCTATCGTTGAACGAATATGTTGGAGAAAATGGAAATGGATTTGACGAAAATGAAAGAATAATTCAGCGAAGAAAATTTTCCTTATCGACGAAATCATCTTCACAGACTGTAGAGTCGTATTTATAGTTATCAAAAATGTATAGTAGTCTATTACTGAGTAACAGAACGGAGGTGACATAATTGATATAAGAACTCAGAAGTGCATTTAGAAGTTAAAAATAAAAGTTGTAAATTACGTGGTGCTCAACGGCACAAAGATAGAAATTTGATAAGGTTAAAATTGCTATCGAGTTCGAATAAAGGTAGTTGATTGTCAGTTTAACAAGTCTAAGAGGATGTTAAAATGTACAACAGGAAACAAATGAGAGTGATAACAGTGAATAAATTATTAAAGCAAAAGCAAACTAAAAGTAAAATTAAAAAATAAAATAAAAAATTTAAATTTTTTACAGGGAACAGCTAGTGATGTTAAGATCAAGGTAGAATAACAGACTGGACAAACTTTTTCTGTATACAAAGTTCGTGGTTGTATTAGCGAATTGCCTCCGCTATACACAAAGGCGGAAACCTGACGCCCTTTGTACTATTTGGTTTCGCCTTGCAGATAAACTGGAACGACGACTGTGGTACAGCTACGTGGCCTGAGTTCACCAGATCCTCGAGAATGGAGCCAGTAATTGTCTTGCATTGTCTTTTTGCTAACCATGACAGATAATGTTCAGAGATGCATTTGGAAAGTATGCCCTTTGTGCGGCCAATATAACTAGCTCTACACGAGCAGGTGAATTTATAAACGCACACTGAGGTGGTCCAAAGCGACAGCTTATCCTTCACACACCCTTTGATCATTCGTCAGCTGTAGAAATTGATAAGTAGCTCAGCCATAAAGAAGGCTTTCCTTAGTGATCTGCATAAGCAACTCTTTAGGATCTCAGCTGCGGTATCACCTTTGAATTCAGCAATCACAAACAGCTGTTTCTTCGTCAATGTCTGAGTTCTTTCAGGCTTTCCCCTTAACTTCATCTTTTTCTCGATAAATCTTGGAGGATATTTATTCTCTATGAGGACTTGTCTAAGTCGATGTATTCTTGGGAATGAAGAGTTGATCAGGTTTCTCTTTATTCTCACAGGGACAGAACTATGAAAATTCATGTACTAACCATGGATTTTGCGTACGTTGAGGAGACCGTCAATCGATATCGCGTGCCGTGCCATAGACAGAGTGGAACCCAAGTATGGAAAGACGAATTAGTCGTCTGAGGGTGAAATGCAGAATATAATTTAAGGAGAAGATGACAGATTATGGGATATCGTGGGCCCATCTGAAAGGAGCAGCATAAAATATAACAAAGTAGAGATGTGCTGCTGAATTCTTATTTATTTATTCAGAATACAAAGGAAAAATAATAATAACAGCCAATACGAGATATTTCCTTTACGAAACCGTTACCACCTTATATAATCAATAAATGCGTCTCACACTGTATAGAAAACGGATGCCAATACTTTAAGGAGTCTGCATGTTTGCAGCCTGAAGGCTATTCACCTTACACTTTGCTGCAGTTTCTCAAAGATTGTGAATATCTATTGCAGATTACATCAAACGCCTGGCACTTCTAATTTCCACAGTCAGTTCCTCTAGGACCCTATACGCTAAACTGACAGAATTATATAAAAATGTTAAAAAAACTACTATCTCACACAGTGTGCACACTCTCTGCAGACAGACTATTGAGGATCAGGCCTGCTTCAACTGTGTTTCGATAGGTCTGATGTTGAGATTACACTCCATTTGCATCCAGTTGGTCAACTACATTTCGTAGACAGACCTTATACAATAAGTAGTCTACTTGATGCCTTAAAAATCTTATTTTGATTATTTACTTCTTGATAAATGCTTACTTTAAACAAAGAAGTGTAATCCGTATAATATAACATTGTAAATCTACTAGCTTAGCAAAGCATCAATGAAAATGTGTGAGCTCATTGATTATTCAGTTCGTGTTTACAGAAAAATGGGTTAGCTTGGTGAAGCGGCAATTTCCTCTATGAAACGTATACAGACTCCACAAATTCGCTTTGTTTTTTAGATTGGTCAAACAGAATGATTCCTTGAAAAATCCCTCCTGAACGACCTAATTACAGTAATGATGATTACTTGGACGTTCCAACCAACTTTGTAACTAGTTTCCT